ATGTTTTAGCATGTGTCTGGTCATGGGTTAAGAAATGGACGCCATAATTAAGAGTGCGCCTTATAATCTGGTGCGCCTTATGGTCCAGAAAATACGGTACATTTCTTTTAGTAAAACTGGTTAAGACTGGATTGTAAAGTGTTGAATTTCTGATGTTTATCAGAAACACTTTAGGTGCTGGAATTTCCCACACACACCGTTTGTCTCTGCCATTTGCAAACAGATAGCAGCCGCTCTTCATTGGCATATCATTTCTCGTGTAAAGTGGAAGCAGTGAATTAATGTGAGACATAAGGAAGAAAATGTTTTAAATGTTCTCCTCCAGCCATTCAGATCCAGTTAATAAATACAGGTAAGATACACAAGCACACACACATTCCTGCACACGGCTGTATGGATATATGACAGGTTCATTTATATCAGTATTATTATTTAGAGGATTTTTTTTAAATCTGAGAATTCATTTTCATTTACAAAAACAAATGAAATATGAGGAACAGAACACAGAATATAATATATATTAGGCTCTTCCACAGTAACTACATTGGTACAAAAACAAAACTTTACAAATTTTTCATCATAAATTCATTTTATTTATGATAAGATAAAAACCTCCAGTGACCTAAAAACATTCATATGCACATATGAATGTTTGTACTTTTGGAAATAGTGGATAAGTACAGTTGGACTATCATAACCAAAACCAAAAGTACTTAATTGAAAATGTATTAAGGACGTTAGAAATGATATTACATTCTTTTCAAAATATTACAATTCCAGAATAAATGGCTGTTTCTGGATGCGCTTTGCAAAACTCACAGTTGGGGTCGACTGGTTTAATATAGTTCAACATTTATTAAATAGCAGGAATTAAATGCAACAGTTTAAATAAACGGGATCTCATGTGATGATTTTAACAGAGAGGCATTACAGCCAATCAGAACGACAGACCAGAAGTGGCTTCTTTGGAAAGAAAAAATAAATAAATTAACACTTGTAATAACATAAATAATGCAAATTGGAGAGTAGTAGGAGAAGAAATTGGAAATAAGTGGTCAGTATAATTTAAGCCAATCTAACTTTAAGCTTTATCAAAAAGTGAAGTTGAAGCCTAGACGTAAAAATAGACATGATGTTTGACTCACAGACTAAAATATAAGAAAAGACAAAAAACTTCTTCAGACTCATCAGCTTTTATTGTTTAATAAACAATGTTGAAGTAAAGTATTAATATGTAGATCTATTTAAAACAGTGATAATAAACTGAACATTTTTCTTACTTAACAGCTAAAACAAGATAACGCAACCTATCAGGATTTATTTAAAGAATAAACAAGTTCTAGTTAATCCTCCACACACTCACTGATTACTTATAGAGAGCTGAATGTAATATAATAAGTGGCTGGAAAAGGGAATATAATGTAAGCTATGTTCTGTTAGTAAAGATAAGTATAGATGTTTAATTTAAAAAACACAAGAAAAATAGAATGACCCTATAGAATAATTATAGTTGCTATGATTTGGTAGGATAATTAGTTTTATAATAACAAAAAACATCTGTTGTGTTTTTATATAATCCTAAATATGTTTATAAAAACTTGCAGCAAAACAGCAGTTTGAAAAAATAAAAAGAACTTAAAGATAGATTTAAACCTTCAAACAAATAACCCATTAATATTTACTTCTCATAATCCAAAATATATATGTGAAATTTTAAATGTAACTTTGGAAACAAAACGATCAAAAGTCAAAGGCTAACGTCTCAGTATTTATCAGTATTTAGAACAGATGAAATTAAACGTCTCGCTGTCTTTTTTTTCCAGCCACTTATGTCTTCCTCTCGTTTCCATGGCTCCAGACATGTCACAGTCGTCCATCTTTGGACATGAGGCCCAGTTCTCGTAGCTGACCACCTCGTCACTGACCCAGAACCAGAAATGAAGAGTCCAGGCGTAGTGCAGTCCAATCCAGACATAATCAGTCGATGCGTTCTTGACTTTCTCCTGGATCCATTTCTGATCATCCATGTTGGTGATGGTGACCAGGTCATGGTGGTGATCTCTGCAGTAGGTCAAGGCGTCTTTCCAGGTTTTCTTTTCTTTGATCAGGATCACTTTGTCTGTCATGGTTGTGAGGAGAAAAGAGTTAATGGCATTTATTTATGTTACTTTACAGAAAAGGAAGAAAAAAAATTATCTTTGGTTCCAAATATTTTCAAATTCCTTTTTTTTTTTTTTTTTTTTTTTAAAAAATGGGGGGGGGGAAAAAGCTTTGAAAATTTTGGAAAGGGGGCCCCCCCCGGCCCCGCCTTTGC